TTTTTTTTTTTTTTGAACATTTGTATACTGCCGCTTTAAGAACGATGGCGAAGTCAGAATTGAGTGGACTGACTAAGTTTCAAAATTATAGCTCTCCAAAGTTTTGATATTATACGGATATTTTATGTTATGTTAAATAATTCTATATTGTCAACTTTCTATAACGTTTGTCGTAGCCGAATGGTTACGACAAACACATAATACATACCTATTGTTAAACACAACCTATTGTCACCATAGTGTTCACAAGTTCAAACCTGCGTTTCGATAAAAAATGTTTGTACTTATTTTTTCCTTTTCGCACTTTTTCTAACTGATCGAGTTTATTTTAGACATATGGTGATAGTTTTTACGTATTAGGAGCTCTACATTGAGGACACTGGGTCTTCAAATAGTTTTTTTATTGGACAATTCCAATTCGTTTTTATTTGCAACCCTGAGTATTGTGTTGTGACATTTTTGCAGCGGTAGAAAAAAACATTGTTATAGGCACCACTCCACCCGTATAGACACAAATAGTGTTAAGATGTATTGTTAGTTCTAATGTTTTTTAAGGGTTAATATCTCACGTAGTTCTTTCATTATGTATAACAATATTATTGTTATAATAATGACGTTTCGTAACGTAGTATCGAAGTTTTTTTCGTTAGCCACTCAAAGTCCAACGCCCTCCCCTCCCTTCCCTGTAACGGCAATAATATAATTCCACACGCGTATAATACAACATAGTATACGGTTATAATGGACGGTATAATATGTATTTTATTTTACGTACAACAATAATAAATACGGCGCAGTCGTCCGACGCGGTACTCGTAAATCTATAAATTCTTCTTTTTTTATTTTTTTTTTTTTTTTTTCTGTCCACGTGTTTTTCTCCCTTTTTTCCCCTGCATTTCGTTCTCTCTCGACGACGGCGGCCGTGTGCGTTTGCGTGTGTGCGTACACCGTTGGTACAGTCGTCACGACGATGCTGCGACAGTATCATATTATTATTATTATAGCGGAGCAGCGGCGTTACATACTCGAAATTTACACGCTTTATGTATTTTTTTTTTTTTTTTTTTTTTGTTTTCTGTCCACGTGTTTTTCTCCCTTTTTTCCCCTGCATTTCGTTCTCTCTCGACGACGGCGGCCGCTCTCCGCGATCGTATCTTTAGACGAAGGTTTCCCCCCCTCCCCGTACTATACACACGCGCGCACACACACACACACACACACACACACACGCAATATTATTATAGTAATAATACCGATTTTGTTTTTTTCGTATTCTTCTCTATAAACGGCTGATATTACAATAATATTCTTAAATGGTAAAAATAATAATACACCAGTATTCCGCCATAAAAACATTATTTTTGAAATGTCCGGATAAAGACCACCGACCGTTTCGCCGGTATAATCTGAACGCGTGTTATAATAAAAAATACACAACGATATTTATCAATCTGGATAAAAAATACACGATCGGCAACACGTTTTCATCCGGGTAAGAAAAAGACGATTTCGTTCATCGCCTGTCGTTAAACCAATTGCTAAAATTATAGTAAAAGTGCGTAACCGGACTATTAACACACGTCATCTAGATTTCGTACAAAAGTCGCGCGATAACTCATCTAATTATTCCACACACGGACTTAAATATTGCACCACCAATTGGTTTATCCAATAAATATAATGTAAATTACGTTTTAAAAAATAATTATTATCAGTACCAAGCTATTGCTTGGATAACTCATTTCTCATTTATCTAAATGTACAATTAAACCTATCTGGACGATATTTACGCCCGGGTAAATTCGTCTAGATAAAACACCGGCAAACATTTTATCGTTTACAAACGAAACGTACATCCGAATACATAATAATACGATGAAACAGAGGCATGCACAGGGTTAGGATTATTTGTGGTGTCATTTCACTTCAGCAAATCTCATTTTGCCGACTAAAAAATCGGTTTTACACGGATCGAAATTATATATTCCCATTAATGCCGAAATCCGATTTTTTCAATGTCGGTGGAATTATCGCCACGATTTAAATAAACACATATTTATTTTTATTGGACATTTTTAATATATTTTTTTATTTAAAAATTATAAAAATATTGTATAATAATTAAAAATTATTGATTATAATTATATTGATTAAAACATGTAAATTTACTTGGTATTCAGTCACATATGAATCATAATATGTAAATTGAATTATTATTGTATTAAATTTAACAAAACCACCACAATAATCGTTTTAGGACCTTCATTCAACTCCGAACCGAACTCTTTCTCAATTGAAATCGACGCTAAACCATGTGTAGACGTGTCATAGATATCCATAAATATGCATGTTTTCTTTTCTTTTCATCGTAGACAAATTTAGTGCGGCGAAGTGAGGGGAAAAAAGTTAACTTGTTCCAAATATTACTTACAACTATTACTTCAAACAAATCGGAAAACCTCACTAGATGATAGATACGCCATCGCGACCAGTACTCGGATTGGAAAAAAAAAAAAAAAAAGACTCCAAGAATTTAAAAAAATTAGCATCCTTTACAATGATTAAACCCAACCTGACCTTGATGGGTCAGACCTTATAGAAGATCTTTTATCTCTGCGTATCAAAGACAAACATAAGAACAGTGTTTAAATGTTTGTACTGGAGGTCCAACACAATTTATAATCATAAAAGAAGAAATATTAGTAGAACTTAACGCATTGCTTTTGGTAGTCACTAAATTGTTCATAGAAATAAACGCACGTTCGCACTTACTTGATGAAATTGCGATTGTCTATTTGACGGTTAACAGATGATTCAGATCCGGTATTATTTAATATTATTTTACCAAAATAATACGTTCCGTCTTCCCGATCTAATGAAAATAATTTAAAGAGGTGCTCTAAAAATATGAACAATTTTAAGAGAAACTCCGTCCCCCTGCGCCTCGCCCTAATTCGAACACTGGTTAGTGTTTGAGAAGTTAAAGCCGCTTTTAATTTTTTCCCAAATCCATAAAATATTTCGCCAGTGCATTTTCATTGGACGGAAATAAGCAACGCGTCAAATGGCTGTGTGAGATGAGTAGAATTTGGTGGCAAGCACACAAACATTAAATCATTTTCTTCGCATAATTGTAACCAGTGCTCGAATTTTTTTCGTGTATTCTTTTTTTGCTTTTTAACCACCCGAAAGCCTTTATTAAAACAATCAAAAATTGTTAGAAGTATATTATAAAGGTGTATAAGAATACTGGTGTATTGATGTACAAAAGAAAAAGAAAACATGTGTGAAGTCCCACTCCCAATTGAACGGCCCCGGCCTAAGTCTAAGAATCTTATACTAAATCGTATGGTCTTCGGCGTTTGAGACGCCCAATGTCTTGATAACTGTCAAGTAGTTGAATTCATTGCTGTTGGCTTAGTGTGCTGATCCAACTTTATTTCATGTTTGCGGGCAAACTTGGCAATCTCATCCTGGACGGAGATGATAATCATATCATGGTGAATAGTGCCGTAGATGTCAAATGATCAAATTGTAAAAATAAAAGAAAGGAAACTGCAAGAATTTAAAAAATTAGCATCCTTTACACAATGATTAAACTCAGTTCTAAACTAAACTCATCCAATTTGAGCACTGAGTGCGACAAAAGCGATTGGATTAGTACCTGTCGTCGTTTCATGGCCTAACAAGTGTTAAGACTTATCTAGATGAACATTTAGATATTTATTATTAGATATTTAGGGTTATCCGTGTAAAAAAATAATCGTCTTTTAGTATTTATCTGGATAAAATATCAAAATATACCTGAAAAAAGGTTAGGTAACCTTTCATAAATACAATACATACTTAACAGATAATCCTTCGTAATTAGATAAAAAATGTACTCCATAATAGTGTTGGGGGAAGTGTAGAAGGGACGAAGTCACCCACATTCAATATTTTTCAAGCGTATACTTACTAAAATATTGAGACTACATCACTGGTATAACCGTGTCGCATTGCGCGTGAATAACAATCATTTTAATAATAACTTATAAATTTACCTTTTGTATTATAATACAGTAAGTTATAGTACAAAATATTAATAAGTAACGGTACAGGTTAAGAGCAACTTGCTAATAATTATTTACATTAACCGTTTAAATATTCAAAATTATGCAAAATTATCGACAAAACAAGGGAATAAAAACAAATTATCTCATACAAGACAATTCAAATATTTATATTATATTTATCTTGATAAATTTCAATTATCTGTGTTTCAATAATAAATCCAATCCAGATGGATTGTATATATATTTTGTATATGGATACATACAAAAAAAAAATCCACGTATAAAATCTATGTACACGATTTAATTTTTGAACATTTTAGGATTACGTACGTATTTAAGACATTTTCAACGTGATTTTTATTTTTTAGAATAAAGTTTAATGGCATATTTTGATATTTTATAATGCATATCTGTACACGTATATATTGTATACAGTTATTATCTATTATTTATATTGTATAGAAAAACAAAAAAATAATAACATCTCCTGACCGACTGATTCGTCGTCTCCTAGTCTAAACCACCGGACGGATCGGGCTGAAATTCGACACTCATACGGCTATTGTGACGTAGGCATCCGTTAAGAAAGAATTTTTGAAAATTTAACCCCTAAGGGGGTAAAATAGGGGGTTGTTTTAGGTATATTCGATACGAATTGCTTACGAGGTGTGGCTATTAAATAACGAGACTGCTCGCCTAGAGTGCGCCTTAAATGGATAGTGAAAAAAACGAATAATTCGTTGGGTATCTAAATATCTTATCTATGCACGTACCATAACACGTTTTCGTCACTATTATAGTATTTGTGCAGTAGTGGTTTGAAACGAACGTGTTTTTTTCTCGTGCCGAAAACCATGTGTGACGAAAAACAGGAGCAACGTATCAATCTCAAATTTTTCGTTAAATTGAAAAAANGTTAGAAAAATTTTACATGAGGAATTACATATGACAAAAGTCTGTGCGAAGTTGGTGCCAAAAAACCTGACTCCTGACCAAAAGTTCTTGCGTCAACAGGTCTGCTCAGATTTCCTTGAAAAGTTAAAAGAAGATCCCGGACTGATGCAAAAACCGATTATAACTTGCGACGAAACATGGATTTTTCAATACGATGTTGAAACAAAGCGACGATCGATGCATTGGAAGACACCTGAATCGCCCGGAATCAAAAAAGCAAGGATGTCCAAATCAAAATTTAAGGCAATGTTGATCGTTATTTTTGACATTAACGGTATCGTGATGACTGAATGGGTTCCAGAGGGTCGGACTGTCGACTAGATTTACTATTTATCGATTTCGGCAACACTGCGAGAAAGAGTTCGTAAGAAACGGCCCGAGTTGTGGAAGAACAACTCGTGGATTTTGCACCAGGACAACGCACCTGCCCATAACGCGCTATCTGTGAAGCAGTATTTGGCCGGTAAGCGCACTCCAGTGCTCGAACACGCGCCGTACTCGCCAGATTTGGCACCGTGCGACTTTTTTTTGTTTCCAAAGATAAAATCTGCTTTGAAAGGGACCCGATTTGAGTCGATGGAAGCGGTAAAGCAAAAAACGGCAGAGCTCCTAAAGGCCCTCACCAAAGAAGACTTCCAGCACTGCTTTGATCAATGGAAAAAACGTACGGAAAGGCGTGTGGCGAGGGGAGGGGAGTATATTGAAGGGGAGCGTTTGAATGTAGAATAATTTTTATAATAAAACACTTTTTCGTAACCAGTACCGTTATTAAATAGCCACACCTCGTATTTCTTCGTTTTTGTTTATTGAAGGGGATTACCTCGGTGCCACAGAAAAGAAAACTGTGATAATTATGACTATTATTTACGCTATTGGTTTACGTCGATTTCACAACGGAACGAACACATTCAGTCAGCCGAAGCACTGTTTTACATATTCTTTAATAATATTTGTTTAATATTGTAACTATTTTTTTTTTTTCCCCGTTTTTCATTCTTTTTTCTCGGTTTTTCCCACTTATTATGAAAACTCCCGGCTAAATCGAAAAACGGCCTTCTTAGAGGACCCCACACTAGTCGGATTTTCTTTCGGAAAAATGTCCGTCGTTGTAAATCGGAAGAAAAAAAAAATGCACGTATACAGTGGTATATAATATTACGCATTCGTCGATAACAATAACAATAATAAAAACAGTGGTTACTGTTTACGCAGCGGCTCTATATTCATTGGCAATTGTTCCGAGGGTCTTAAACAAACACTGCGCCGCAATCGTCGTCCGCACTGGCTTAAAACTTCGAGTTTCAATGATTCAGAGACAAGCGCGAATTGGCCGGGGTGCTGGGACGCTACGGCACACCGTGTATTTGCCCAGATTTATACGAATTTGCGCCACGATTGGGTTTTTAATTGACCAATGAATGTGAATTTTTATTACGAACGTTATAGTTATCCGATCACGTAGAACCGTTTGTCTGGAAAAATTCAATATACCGTTGTTTACAATTAACATTACATTGTATTTGAAAATTACACGCGGTGTCGTTTTCAAAATGTCTGAAATTGTTCAGTTTTTTTTCCTCATTACGCGGATGACAATGTTGATTTTTATCGACATTTCATTTAAAAATTGTTTCCAAACACAAACAGTTTTAATTTATTTTCCAGTTACGAAATAATATACAACTTTCGATTCTGCAAAGCGTCGTTTACGTTATCGATTACAACAGTGGCTCATTTATTCGAGGGGATCGGATACCGCGGTACTTTCTTATTTTTACTAATATAAATGTACCTACTCAGCACAGGAATCGAAACTAATTTTTCGACAATCGGCCCGATCGACGATTCGATAAAATCGGTTAGACCATTTGTTTAAATGTAGATTTTAGTTTGTTTTTTTTTTTTATATATATATATATATATATGCATCTTCGTATCAAATTTTTGGAAACTAAGGACTAAAAAGACGTCCTAGGACAACGGAGACGGGCGCAGCCGCCGTTATGGGTAGTTTAATTTAGAAACTGTAAGCAAAAATACATACCGTTGCTCACGAAAAAAACGATTCTAAACGCGATTTCGGTCGATGGTGATACTTTGTCGACAACATGTGCGCCGTATTATAGTAAAATAGTTAAACAGGCTCTGTGCGTTTTCATTAATAGTTTCTTCGATCGTCGTATCGTTTTTCCCGGTTTTCCGCGTTTCTGGGAAAATGGAAAAACGACCTATCTAAAGTATGTCACCAATAAAATTCCCTTTCAGCAAAATTCCCATCATTAAAAATCGGATCGGAATTGCTGGTGGAAAGTCGCGTACGGGAAAAAAAAAATCGTAATATTATATTTATTGTTGGTGTATCGCAGTCAAAATGTAAAACGCGACTGAATGTGAAAAAATCGAAAGACGGAAATACGTAGAAAAAAAATATAAAAATTACACCAATTTGGTCGTTTGACTTGGAAATAATTTATCTTAACAGGGGATATTATTTCAAACGGGTTGTAATAACCAAATGGTTTTTAATTCTTAACGTGTTTACGCCTAATAACGACCTATTTTAAAAATAATCTCCCCTATTGAAATAAATAATTTCTACGTGTTCTTTCATTTAATTTTTTTTTTTTATTCGGTACATTTGCGTTTACATTTCGACCGTGGTGTACGTGATGATGATGAATTTTCGATTCGAAACCGGCCGCACAATGCTCCGGGCGACGCATTCGTTCGTTTTTTTTTTTTTCTATATATTTCTTTATACATTTGAGAGTACCGAGAGTCGTACACACCCATTGTTATTCGATTCCGACGATATCGTTTTTTTTTTTTTTTTTTTCTATCGCTTTAGCCAGGGCCGGCGGCGGCCCTGTACGCGGCTGTACTGCGCGCGAATAGGACGCGGCGCACGGGCTCGGCGCGAAATCCCGAATGCCGCGCGTGCGTTAACGCCGCGCGTACCCGCGCACCGCGCGTAACACCGTGCTGCACGCGTTCGCGCGACACACGCGGACCTCCCGTGTTATTTTTCGTGCGCGCAACGACATTGCCGGTGCTCGCGCGCGTGTGTTGGCCTCACAGCAACGATAAGGACAACGATAATATTTTAACCGTGTGCGAGAACGAGTGCCGTCGACGGCCGATCGCGCCCGTACGAACCGGAACCGCGACGGACGAAAATCGGGTGCCGCCGCCCCGCCGGTCGCGGCCGCACGAAAAAACGGATACGATCCCGCGGCGCGTGTTATTATTATTATTATTGTTGTTGCTATTTTTTTTTTTTTAAATTTCATACGCGTTCCTCCACCCCTTCCGCCGCCAATCGCGATCCGCGCTTGACCGCCGCCGCCGCCGGCCGTGCGCACGCGAACGCGCTGTGCGGGGTGCGTGGCGCATTGTCGTCGGCCGTCGGGAATTCGCGGGCGGTCCCCGGGTGAATTTCGATTTCGGTTCGATTTTCGCCGTCGAAACAATTACGCGCGCGGCGGGAATCGGCTGTCACGAGTCGGAATCGGAGTTACGAGGAGCGTAAATTGGCCGAACGATTGCCGACGAATATTGTTTTTTTTTTTTTTTCGCTTTTTAGCCGGCGATCGAATTCTCATTGTCGTTGTCGAGTTCGGTGTAACGCAACAAGATTGCACGGTTATTGTCCACGAACCACAGCCATTATGCATCGCTATCCACGCCCTCCCATTCGAAATTCCCGCGGACTGTTATAACGTAACAGCTGCCGTGCGTAATGCAACGTTTAATAATAGACACGGGATTTCGTATGAAGCGCCCGAAATTCCGTGAACGTCGTCTCGAGCGTAATATTTCCGCGGGGTAGAATGCAACGCACTCGTATACAATGGAAATGTCAAAAAATACGTTCTAGGATAACGGAGAAGTGTGCAGCCACCGTTATAGGTAATTTAATGTACACCTGTAAGCAACCGTTGCTGACGAAGAATCGATTCTGAGCGGAGTTCAATAGCGGATAGTGTTGCGCCGTCAACAATACGTGCGCCGGATTATAGTGAAATAACTAAGCAGGCCCTATATATTTTCGTTAATAACATTACCGTTAAGTGTCGTACCGGTTTTTCCGGTGCTCCTACGTTTTTCGCATTCGCCGAGAAAATCGAAAAACCGCCTACTCAAAGTACATCCCCCCGTTCCGGTTTTCTTTCGTAAAAGCTGCTGCGCTTAAAAATCCGAGCGTGATTTCCGGTAGAACTCGCGCGCGCGGATCTCTATAAAACCGTACGCCTTTTCGCACCACTCGGAATCTAAAACCGGAAACCGAATTGTTAGTGATTAACAGATTGAATCGATTGAACCGGCCGTTGATAAACAGTTTGTCAAACGTTCGAAATGCCCGAAACTTAATGCATCCGCGAATACGGAATGGTTCGGAATCGGTCCGGAACAACAGCCAACAGTCATCGGCTGCGGAACAACAGTTGGCGACGCTCGGTCTTTTCGTTCCGTCGCGCGGCGAAACTCGACCGATCGAATGTCGAACCGGGCGGTTACCGGGCGGGAACGACGCGATGGCGGACGCGTTTAGCGCGCGCGGCGCGGAAGGCGCGGAACGACGGGTGCAGACGGCCGGTGCGCAGGTGTACGCGTTCGCGGGCGGGACGCGCCCGACGCTTCGCTGCGGCGCGGGTCCGTCGCGCGAACAAAAAACAAGCCGCGCGGAACCACGGCGAAAATCAAAAAAATAACTATTGTCTGATCGTTCTCGGTGGTTAATCCGCGACGACGCCGCCGGCGACGCGGCCCAAATGGCGTACGCCAAATGGCCCGCGCGAAAACGGTATGACGCGTTTTACACGTCGTTGTACACGGAGAATTTCGACGCACGACGAGAAACGCGAATTGTCAGTGAAATCTGTTTGTCCATCGGTTCGTTCGGCCGAATCGATTACACAATTTATTAATTGATTGTACTGACAAACGCGATAATGTTTTACCGTCGGAAGAACGCGTCGCTATTTACTACTCACTAGAAAGACCGTACGGGATTTTACGTTACTATGGAATTTTATTGAAAAATAGGTTACCGCTTGGTTTTCAACATTTCTTACCCCCGAATCCCCCAAAAGGGCGTCTGAAATTTCAAACCTATATATAATTGTACAACGGTTTCGTGTGATTGTTGTTTAAAGACGTTTTAAAACGGGGATTTTTCAAAAAAAAAAATCTCCTTTTTTTTCTGCTAATATCATATTTAAAAAAAAAAAAAATTAAACTTGAAAAACAAGAATAATATAACGAAAAATGACTTTTAAATGCACCAACTAAGCAATATTTTTTTATTTTTTTTTTTCAGAAAAGACCCTACTAATACTTGTTGTTTAGAACGCTATTTGTATTAGACAAATATCAAACGCACTCGTATATCGAAATCAAAATAAATAATATCATAGTAATTACGAGAAATCGTAACTTCGTCGTCGATACGTGTGATTGTGTTTGTTTTATAACCTGATAATTGGTTGGTACATCTCGACCACGGTCCGTCGTGTCCCGACATGGGCTGCAGTGCAACGCTGAGAACGACAGTCTCGCGATAAGTGGTGGTGTGGGAAACCTGCAGGGACTTAAGTATGTACGCCATGTATACTATTATGGATTTCAAGTACACCATTTTGATCTACGCGATCCTTTCCCCAAGCGTCATCGGGTATCCGGAATACACGGCAAGTTAAAAAATAATGTATACTCGCGTGAAATATTAA